CCCAAGCCTGTACGATTGTTTTCTCAAAACTGAAAGAGCGTGGGTACTCTAAACGATTTTTACGAAACATAAAAAATTCCACCTTAGCACAGATAGCAGCTAAAAACAGACTTTATGCCGAAGTACCTCCAGGTTTAAGAAGTGCTCCATGTTTGTCCAGTAGATGCAAAACATGTCCCTTTATATCAGAAACTCATTATTTTGTAAGCAACTCTACGAATAAAAGGTATCCGATCCAGGAACATCTAACATGTGAACATTCGAATGTAATATATTTAATTTCATGCAAGAAATGCCCCAAACAATATGTAGGAGAAACTAAGAATAATTTACGAACTCGCTTTAATGCTCATAGGTCAGACATCAAATTAAAGAAAGACAAGCCTGTTTCTAATCATTTCAACCTCGACGACCATTCAATAGACGATCTCACCCTAATCCCAATTGAGCATATAGAAATTGACTTGCCCGAAGATGAAACTACCAAATTCCGTCAATCTAGGGAGGCCCATTGGATTGAGACATTGAATACAGCAAGACCTATAGGACTAAATATTCATCATAATGTAGGCATAGCACCCTTTGTTGTCCCGTTTAATACAACCAGCAATCGAGCAAGCAAGATAGTTCATGCCCACTATAAGAGCCTTCAAGAGAAATTCCCCCATGTCTATCAGAAAATGATAGTTGCATATTCAAAAAATAAGAACTTAAATGATAATATTGTTCATAGTAAACTAAAAACAATCAGTACATAACAGATACTATACTTCTCGCCCATCGGGCGAGTTATTTTTTCTAATTTCAGATCAGAATAAGAACAGAAGAAAACCCAATATCAAGACCCTTAATCCTAATTTCTAAATAAAGTGTCTGCTCCACCCTAGGCCTGTACATTTGGGAGAATCAAACCCTCCCTTCCCCGAAACCTAAAATATACCATATCGACAGATTGCTGCCATATAATGGAAACAACAAACCAAAATGGATGACAAATATTTAGGGAAATCTAGTAAAATTGGATGGATAGGATAATAAATGATTCTGCATTAAAGACAAGTCGGCCGAAGATGATGCTTTGGTGCACTGGAATTGATATAAAGCGTCTGGAAGACGCATTATGACATAAAGTCCAGCAAAAAATGCTTTTCGGAAGGACAAGCAGTGTGGATATACGACTCTTCAAGAAAGATAGGTATATGCCAGAAGTTAACCTCTCGCTGGAAAGGACCTTACTTGATAACCAGCAGAAAAGTAGACGACTTAACGTACATGGTTAAGAAAGGAAAGAAACAAAACCCTAAAATATACCATATCGACAGATTACTGCCATATAATGGAAACAACAAACCAAAATGGATGACAAATATTTAAGGAAATCTAGTAAAATTGGATGGATAGGATAATAAATGATTCTGCATTAAAGACAAGTCGGCCGAAGATGATGCTTTGGTGCACTGGAATTGATATAAAGCGTCTGGAAGACGCATTATGACATAAAGTCCAGCAAAAAATGCTTTTCGGAAGGACAAGCAGTGTGGATATACGACTCTTCAAGAAAGATAGGTATATGCCAGAAGTTAACCTCTCGCTGGAAAGGACCTTACTTGATAACCAGCAGAAAAGTAGACGACTTAACGTACATGGTTAAGAAAGGAAAGAAACAAAACCCTAAAATATACCATATCGACAGATTACTGCCATATAATGGAAACAACAAACCAAAATGGATGACAAATATTTAAGGAAATCTAGTAAAATTGGATGGATAGGATAATAAATGATTCTGCATTAAAGACAAGTCGGCCGAAGATGATGCTTTGGTGCACTGGAATTGATATAAAGCGTCTGGAAGACCGACAGTGGGAGATACCGTTTAGCATATCCCAGGGGGCTCGGACTGGCGGCTTGGATAGATTGAGATTGGAGTCTATGGCCCGGAACCGGTTAGGGAATTGGGAGAAGCTCAAATGCTGTTGCTTACACCCGCGCCGAAATTTACGTCGAAATACCCTAGGGAGTTACCTAGACTTCACCTCTTCCTATCCTGATTATAGGTGGAAACCGTTTCCCACGGTTGAAGATTTTATTTAGTTTATGATTTGGTCGACTTCGAGATATTCGGCATATGCTGCACTATGGACTATCGTCAACTGGCTGTCAGTTGTCCGTGGTGCCCAGATTCTAAACACTACCGACGAGCAGTCGACCTTCGGCAGCACGCAAACGCCGACCATCTGGAAATGTTAGAGGGGACGCCAGATGGAATACTGTCGGAAAACAATTGTTACTGGGTGGCGAAGTTTCCAGATACATATGCCTCAGTAATTAACCCAACAAAAGCTGATTCATTAGAAGCCCAGGCCGTCACAAAATTACTACACAAGAAGAAACAAGATTTAGTCGTTGGTTCAGAACAGGAAGTAGAAGATGAAGTAGAACTAGGGAAACTCGTCTTGTCGTCGGATAACATCAAGGCAGTTTTCAATATCGTCGGTGGTGATGTAGGAGAATGGTATGAGGCTACTATCAAACCGGAGACAATGGGAAACCAAAGTTAGTTGAATCGATTATGAGACGAATGACCAGCATCAACCAACAGACCTGTCCATCGCGGTTTCAGATACTGGAGGGAAATTGCAGACGAATTTCTCGAACAGCAGCCAAACTCTTGGGAATACCTGAGGAGTATGTAGAGAAGATGGGATCCGTTGTGGCCGTTTTTCCTGGCGGCCAGGAAGGTACGCTAGGTGACGCAGATCTTGCTGACGCTACTGCTTCTTGGTCCCCACTGAAGACGCCCGACAGCAACAGCATTCAGCTGTTGTCTGTGAGCCTTCGGGGGTGTAAACCGTTATGGAAATCGACAGAGAGACGTGGAGAGGCAATTGGGGAGAATTGTGTCAGGGAAGGAAGATATCGAAACAGAATAGAATGGAGGGGTAAAGAGATGGAAAGGGTAGAAAGGAGAAGTAAGGACAGCGAATCAGAAGACCGACGTAGGAAGGAACAATTACCTAGAGCAGAGAGAAGAAAGTGGACGGGAGGAAAGAGAAAGGATGGAGAGGGTAGAGATGAGGAAACGCCGAGAGAGGGAAGAAAGGGGGAGATTGTAAAGAGAAGAGAAGAGGAAGCGTCGGGAGAGAGAAGAAAGGGGAAGATTAGAAAGAGAAGAGAAGAGGAAACGTAGGGAGAGGGAGGAAAGAGAAAGATTGAAGGAAGAAGAAGCTAAGAAACATTAGGAGATGAAAGAAAGAGAAAGATTGAAGGAAGAAGAAGCTAAGAAACATCAGGAGATGGAAGAAAGAGAAAGATTGAATGAAGAAGAAGTGAAGAAACACCAGGAGATGATAGAAAGAGAAAAGAGTAAGGAGATGAAGCATCAAGAGCAAGAGAAGGAACATCGGGTTGACGAAAGAGAAAGAGAAGAGATAGATGAGAAAAGGAAACATCAAGAAGAAGAAGAAAGCGAAGAGGCGAATCACGTGGTAAAAGATTTAATGAGGAAAATGGAAGAGACCAAAAGAGAGAAAAGATAGAAAAAGAATTAGCAGAAGCAGTGAAGAGGCAAACAGGAAAGAGGAAAAACAGAGAGGAGGATGTGTGGGTTGTTAGGCGACGGGTAGATGCCGGGGATCCACCTTTAATAACCAGGGCAGTCGATCTACTCAGATTTGGAGGGATGCCATAATTCCCAGCGGCACCAAGGGAATGGGAAGATGACGAAGCTATCAGCATCTTACCAAAAATCAATGGCCTCCAAAAGGATGGAGGAAGATGACCAGCGAAGAGAAAGATAGGTGGACTTACTTCACGTGTACCGCATTAGAATTGTCTAAAGGAAAATGTCTCCCCCTACCTAAGGAGGACCTTCTACTGAAGTACAGTTTCCTAACACTCGCTGACAGTACCAGACCATCCAATCAAGACCATGATACATCCTTCAACAGGTACTATTCATATTCGGTCATCAGAAGAATCGCGAATGGCCATGAAGTGGTAGATGCTTACGAATAGTTGGGATGTTGGAAGCTGCTGTTGCGGGACGAGATAGAAGCATGGATGACCTTATAGAATTGAAGAGTTGGGAATCGGACTGCGGTTATCGGTCGAGTAAAATTCAGGAGTATTTTCGGCTAGGGGGGGGGGGGGGGTGTTGTTACTATATTTAGGCTATACATGGGGGGGGGGGAGGGTGGATGTAAAGAATGATATGGCAGGAAATTAATCAATGTTCCTGGCCGCGGAATGAAAACAGTGAAATGGAATAGATGACTTATGGACACATCAAGTAATTCGTGGACAGACTCTAATGGTGAGGAAATCGAATGACTTCACATCTGAATAGCATAGCAGACCTTAGTTAGTTCAACTGTTGAAGATTATGAACACATATCAACAAGCCTTGAACAGCAAGTGCGGCACCAATGGGATACAAAGATTCAAGAATGAGATGATGACAGAAATATTTAATCACAAATTTACACTTGTAATAATCCATTGTAACGCGTAAGCGTACTGACATCTAGATCCACGTCAGTTTGTTTACATTTTAGTTCATTCAACGTAGACCATCATTTCACTTCCTTATTCAAGTTATTCCACTAAATCACAGCATTGTTGTAAAATACATTTCATTGTCACATCAGGATCAATGTAGATCGATCTGGAGTCTGTAGGTTTTGTTCACTTTTCACACTTATCAAAAGAAGCTAAAATTCGTCCAGAAATAATTCACGATCCGCCATGTTGGATTTGACGTCGTCTGCATAAGTCACTGACCTTGATTGCAAATGAGTCTTTCCATATTAAGCACTTACTTCACGTTGCGCTTTTGATAAAACTAAATCCATTATTGTCTCTTGTTTGTATTGCATTGAGAAATTGTTATTTCCGATATGATTTATTGCTGTAAAATGGATTAATTCGTTGACCTATTTATCTGTCGACATGGTCTCCTCCACTTCACTACACTAGGCTAGTAGTACACTACAGCACGTAGTAAATCTAGGCCTCGGCTAGCTGGAAAACCGGGTCACAGAGTTGTTTCAAGGATGCCACTCTCACTTAAAATAATCCAACAATTACAAATATTATCCTTAATCAATGTTCATTCCTTTTGATTGATCCTAATGATCGTTGGTGATTGTTTTGTTTATTTATTTATTTGTTGTTGTAAGGCTTGGTCCTCGGCTAGATCGCGAGTGACGTAATGAAGGTCAGAAAAGCGCAATCATTCATTGGTTCTTAATTTCGCGTCGGAAAAAGCGCAATCATTCATTGGTCAATGACGTCACGTGGTAAAAAGCGCAATCGCTCATTGGCTACTACTGGTTATAAATATGACTGAGATCTTCCAAGATGGCAGTTTACGTTTAGGCGTTGATTCGTTAACGTTGACTTAGGAAGCTTGAACTTATCTCAGATAAATCGAATTCTTACGGCTAAGGTACGATAATGCAACTTTAAAGGAAGGAAGGCCCATTATGAGGTCATCGAAGCTAGAGGATGCTTCAGGGCACTCCATCGGCGCTTCTTCTAATTCTGTAGGCCTAGTCCTAGGCCTAGCAGAAGCAGTAGTTCTAAGCCCAGTAGTAGATTCAACATGTAGTAGCTTGCCTATCGTTGAACCGTAGCGTTACGTGAGCTCCCACCACACCGGACCAAGCCAGCCTTGTAGATAATATGTAAATATAATTTGATTCCATGATAATAAGGACCATGGGCTACCCGTTGGTAAGTGTACCCTGGTCTAATAAACAGAATCTCGTACCAGGAAAACATCGATGTATTATATAATAACCTAACTTAAAAGGGAGTGTAAACTTGCGGGATGTGGTACACTGTCCCTATTGGAAGCGGGTTTGGTGTCCCTTGGCAAGAAATATATCTTTAAAGCACATAATTCGACAATCTTGGACCACGTAGAGAAACCCTAAGATCGAGGCATCGACGACGCATGAGCACGGTTAGCTGAGGCTAGGCCTAAATGAGTAGCGAATGGTTTAAGGAATATCAGAAACTGATGTATTATTATGATTTAGCTCATGGTCGATCTGATGTCTCGACTCTAAGGAACTCAGAAGTTCGGGAACATGGAGTTTGCTGGAAGTGGGCTGTCCTGACAAACGTTCGCCAACAGCATTCGACAGGTGCCCCCCATTGGCTTACAATACTACCTGGGGGTAGCACAAATGCTCATCTCCACGTAAGTTGGTCTGCCTGGGTATCTGTGAATCCAGGGTGGCCTCTTTAACAATAATGTGAAATTATGACAATTTACGTTAATTAGGTAGGGTAAAGGTTAAAACTGTTTTAGTTGAAATATATCAGAAACAATATTCTTTTATATTACTCAGTTAATATATTGGTATAAGTAGGGGATTACCTTGGATTATACTTGGTGCTTTCTGAGAGGTTTTCATTTAATGATAACTGGTTACTCGTTTGTTTCTTGTTTCTATATCTTCTATTGGTGACTTGTTGACTTTACTGTTTAAGGAGGTGGAGTCTTCAAAAAGTTCGATTTTTACACCTTTTACCTTCTAGTTTTGCATACACATTACAGTTGCTATACCATGCTGACAGATCTTTATTCAACCTTAATCGGTTTAGTAGTTCTCGGTTTCGTACAGTTATGTCATCAAATATCTTGCAATTGTTATTAAAGAAAGTTTGTTTTTTTGACATCATCATAGATTTTGTTTCACTACAGTCAAATTTTACGATGGTAGGCCTTGGTTGATTTGGTATTGATGACGGGAGTCTATGTATAGCTGCTATATTTTGTCGATACAAGTCTATATTCGCTACTTTACTCGCAAGGCTGCAAAATTTCATTCTGATGTTTTCTCCAGTCTCTTCTTAAATTCCAAAAACTTTAATGTTCATTTTTCTAGAATATTGTTCATTGTAATTGGCCATTCTGATAGCTTCATTTATTCTAGTTTCTGTACAGACTCGTTGTTGCTTCATTTCACTGATTTGCTTTTTCAAAACATCATTTTCTTTCTGTAGGTTTTCCGTTATTAATACAGTTCCTTCACTCCTATCATGTAGTTTGGCTGTCTCGTCAGTTAATCAGTTACTTTATGTAAAATGCTTTCACTCATTTTTTCCATTATACACTCCCGGTCATTTTTTGTAATCATTTGCTTGAAGTTTCCATCCAATTTCTGTTTTAGTGAAGCTATATTTTCATTTAGGTCTGTATTCATTTCAAAACTTATATCACTGTCAGCTGTATCAGATATGAACTTTCTCTAAAGCGTTTTTTTGGATTTTTCTCAACACTTGGATCAGTACCCCCTAAAATCACTTGCTCATTAACTTGGCTCATGATTAGTTGAATAGTAGATAACACTCTGTTCTTTTTTTTAAGTTTCTTTACAGTAGACAATCACATCAAACTGGGTCACCTCTCACTGATGAGTACTATTTCAGTCAGCTTTATAACTTGTTTGATTGAATGTTCACTCACTCAATATTTGCTTTGTTATATAGTTTTCTTGATAATTCACAAACTACACCAAATTTTTTGTTCATACCATACTTTAATGTACAATACACCCTTATCTTCTTATTAGTTACAGCCTTTTCATTAGACTTTTTCACAAGTAAAATTTTGAAAATGTGGTGTGAGGTTTTTCACCTCTTTAGCTGGTTGTCATCTTGTTTGCTATCTTGTTTGTAAGAATAATCTACTTTGCAGTTTGCAAGAAGAACCCGACAAACAACAAGGGTGTCTACAGTGGTGCAGTGACAGTACGTTCCTGAATATTAAGTGGTCGTCACAAAACACAACAACAGTGAAGTCCTAACCAAATTCATCCACGCCTTGAAGATATTCATCAAAATAAGAAACCAACGATGCTGAATGTTGAAGTAAATTATTAGCAGAGTGAATAACGGCATAATCCAGATACTACGTTTCCATCATGCAAAGGCTTGCAGACATTCGGTGAGTGTTCTATCAGATTTGTATTATTTGTTTTTTACGATTAGTTAACACCAAAGCGTCTATAATTATAGTCTTAGGTTTGATATGTCTATCCTTTGTTTTGAGAGTTTAAGAGTTTAATTAGTGTACTAATTATATAGTTACAAATTTTATGGTTTTATAGGTTTGTCTTACTACCTTTAGGGAAATCATGTTTAAGGGCAAAATATATTGAGAATGGAAAGTGATGT